CAGTGAGTATATCTGCTTATACAGGCCAGGCATAGAGGTCTCAGCTAGGGATATATCTCGCTATCACAACGATCGGAGTCAGAATAAACATGATCACATCGCAATCCCCCACCTGATCCTTCTTATCTGAAATCGCAAAGGTTCTACTCCCTGCGAGCTAGTGTTGGTTTTTGAATTTGGCATAGCTGTGCGTGACTCCGCCCACACTGCCACATCATCCATTCACAGATGCTTTGACAGGATCTGTAAATGGAGAAATTACAAGTCCTATCAGCCACCACAGCAGAGGGATCTGAGGAGTTCTCAATGGATGTCAAAGTGCAATGATATCATCACACTTGTAGTCCATTCATTCTTTCTCCAATCCATGTCTCTGAATCTCTGTACCTCAGTACAGTCATGGATGGTATGGAGATTCTGCAGAAGCCAAAGCACTGCAATACTCTACTGGCTCCAATACAAACAAAATAATAAATGTACATTTTGTGTGCATTTATAATTTTTTTTCTAAAAGGTGGACTTTGCCTTTCAAAAAAATAAATGAAATTATACATTAATGAACACAGAGCAGAATTAATATGTCTTCAATATTCACACCGAGTTCAGCTTTAACTACAATAACTACTCCATCCAAAATGTCTGATGATGACATGAGTGGAAAATGCCAACCCTGCAGGTCTTCTGAATAAATAACGAGCTCCATCACTTACTTATTTTAGTCATGGTAATAGGCACAAAGCTCTCTGTTGTCATCTTGGGGCTGATGATCATTGTTTCTACAAGTTTTTCAAGTGATTAAATATGACAGTAATTCAACGGATATCAGGAATGCAATTATGTTGATTTAATAGAAATGTGCTCACAAAAAAAAAAAAAAGAAACAACCTAAAAACCAAGACAATGGAGAGGGGGGAATTATTAAAAAGTGTCTGAGACAAGTTCTATCTAAATTGGTACAGTTGCCCCTAGCAACCAATCAGCTTATAAAGGTTGAATGGCTGCACTCCAGATGGGACAAAGTTGACACAAAGTCTTAGAAACTTTTCATTAATTCCCCCCAATGTTTAAGCATAACATTTCAGGAGGGTAAGTAAAGATAAAGCTCATGCTTTTGTGATTTAGGTGTGTCCAACAATGCTTAAAGTGCATCTTAAAGGCGAACCTTTTGGGCCATGTTTGATGTTATATTTTCAGGGTATAACATTAAATATGGTCACATAGTGACACCACCACCACCCTCCCCACCTGCTGCTCTATATTAAGTACGACCAGGCAGTGCATGACTCCGCCCACACACAATGCCATCCATTCATAGATCCTTTGGCAGCCACCACAGAAGAGGGACTTCACCGCACTTTGTAGTCCACTAATTTCTCCTCCTGTCCATGTTGATGAATGTCCTTGCCTCGGTATGGGCATTCAGCAAAATGGACAGGAGGAGTCCACAGAAGCAAGAGCATTGCACCTGCGATCTACTGGTCGTGGTTGCAATGCTTTACTGTCTCACTTGCAAAATAAATACCTAAATACACATTTGTCTTTTATAAAAAAGTGTGCATTTATAATTTTTTCTCAAATAGTGGACTCTCCCTTTAACTGCATGGACAGTTGTATTTTCTGTAGCACAGCTTTTGCCTAGTGAGGTAAACTTTTATACAGTTCCGATTGCTGCATTTTAGTACAGTTTCTATAAAGCACCGTGTGTATTACACACATTTTTTATGTAATGCTAATGCCCGCTATATGCTGAAAGCACAGAGTCACACTACAGGAAGGATCCATAAAATATTGTCGTGATCCACCTGGCTGTCTGATTGACAGTTGCCTCTGCCTCTCTAGAGCCAGACCAAACTATGCCTGCCCCTTCCCTTGTCTGTCCCTCCAATGAGCACTGGAGGAAATGAGAGGGGAGGGGGTATTCTCTGCAGAGAGAAATGAATGACAGTCACTGCTCATTGCAGGGAGGAAACTGTGATCTGAGTTATCAGCAGTCACATGATCACTCAGCTCTCGGTATATAGAGCCGACATGTGACAGCTGCAGTGTCCACGCCGCCTCCAAGTATTGAAAAGAGCTTTTCCTTTAATGTGAATGTGAATGAGAGCCTGTTCACACCTATGTGCACATAAGAACATACATACATAAGTGTGAATAAGTCCTTCTAGTTGCTCTTTAAAATTCACTAAGCTGCAGCACAAAGGATGAGATTTCTACTGGTGATACATTTTCATGCAGTAAAATGCAAGAAGTATGTATAGGCCTTTATGACCATACCCTCTCCACAGGATCCCTGATTTACCTGTGAGCACACAAATGACAGAAGTGCAGTAGAAACCTGGTGTCTGTACTATGTTCAGAAGAGAGGAAGGCAAAGCTTGTAACAATCTGTGCCTTTTATGTAGTAAACATTAAGGCTGAGAGTGTCACCTTTTCTCTTGTAAGCTCCCTTTACCATTCAGTAAAGACTAAAAGGTTTCTAGCATTAGAGGTGGCAAAGTTTTCAAGATGTAAGTGTGAAAACTGGAACAAAGCCCTTCTATGGGGATGGTGTTTGGCAGGAGCTGACATTAAGCAAGGGAGTTGACATCTCTTGTCCTCTGCATTCCAAACAGGATGACAGATGAAATTATGGCAAGAACAGGTTACATTGACCTCTTATGAATAAAGGTTTGTTTTTTTCTCCACTTGAGAAAGCAAGACATAAGAGATCAGACACGGTGTTACTAAACAGAGTATCAGTGACATTTCTAACAGGTTATTGTGTCCTGAGCAGACCACCTACCCCTAACCCTTCAGCTGCCAGGGAAATGTCTATCAAGTGGGCATCTAGTTTACTTTTTTCCATTTCAAACAGAACTCCACTAGGCAATTTTTCATGTTAACTACTGACAGAACATTGCATAAAAAGTACGAAAATGTTATATGGTAACTGGGTATATGTTGTGATTTCAACAGTTCATGGTTTTAAGCCATTGTTCCAGAATTTTACTGAAGGATAAGCTCACACTGAAACTGTAAGATAGGACAGTGCAGTGTTTCTTGAGTACCTTGTTCCATAATGCTGGCACGTGCTGAGTCTTCTATTTTTCTTATAGAGTATGTTCAAATTTTGCTGGGGGCCAAAAAGCTTGCCTACAACCATCTTCAGTTATCCATAAATGACAAATAAATCACACACACATATACTGTATTCAAACCTAACTTCACACAAAACTCTCTTTTTCAGCCTTGCAGTCAGGCATACCAATATTTCATATATATGTTTATTTCTACATAAATATAAAAATTGAGTAAACATGAACGTTACTTAAAGATGACCATAACGATGCTCCCATGTAACCAGAACAAACAATTACTAATAACTATACAGTATTACTACCCAGAATAAAAACATCCATAGGTAGAAAGAACATGTAGCAAGGGTAGACAGGGAAAAACCTGACATTGGTTAGCCAAAAAATTCCAGCTGCATTTAATGCATGGCTTGTTTAACCAGGAAGCAATGCAAGTAACCACATGCCTTTTTCCCCAATTGCCATTATGTGCTTTGTTAACCACTTCAGTCCTGGATGCTGTTTAAAAACACTGTAGGGAGAGCAGCTATTTGTCTTTAAAACAGTTGATTGACTTAGTAGCTCTTGCAGGCCTATGCTGGCACCACTGGTTGTCAGTGACAGCTGAGGCCCAGCGCCAAGCTTTGGGGCTGAAACAATAAGCCCCTGGGCTTTAGACCTTTCTACAGATCACTATTAAGAGAACGTAAACACAAAATGTCCACATTGTGTTTATATCTGGAGTATAAGCGAGATCACAGCACTTGCTGTCAGTACAGAGGATTTGTCCAGCCTTTCCTTGCAGCAAAATGCTATTGTGATCCATTGCTGTCTGATCTGCAGCAACAGATAACTTCTAACAGCAATCTATTGCTGACTGCAGCCAGCAATAGTTCGCTTTCAGAAGTGATCTGTTGCTGCAGAGCTCTATGGGGGTCCTAAAATATATATAATATATATATAAAAAGTAAATAAAATATTCCCACCCCAGATTAATTCCCAGGTTGCAACACTGATGTTGGATGATCTGGATCACACTTGCCTCAACAGTGCAAGCATCAAATGCTTATGTAAGTGAATGCAATGTCATTCACATTTTTTGGGATCGCAAACCTGTGAAAAAGTCGCCATTGTACCAACCTGATTTAATCTGATCTGCTAACCTCATGTTATGCTAACAATTTATGCACAACAGTTCTTATCCCTGTGTGTGTTGCAATGAAGGAAGCTCTTCTGAAGTAAAATGCATAAGCTTACTTTATCATGGCACTATTTTACATAAAACTCACACTAATGTGATATTGTTTTAATCAGCAGACTTTTTTGACTATATGTTGTCGTAAATATATGGGTGTGCGCAAATTATGTGAACATGGCGTTTCAAAAAAAAAAAAATATATATATACAGGAAAATGCATGTTTTCCCAATTATTCACAATAAAAGCCAAGGAAATAAAAATATATGAATCCAAATGTGCTACCAAATTAAAACCCTATGTGTCCAGGAAAAAAACCCAATGTATAATAGAGTAGAATACAAACACTAAAGCTAAATCTATTATCAAGAATGTTAAAAGTCAACTCCAGCCAAAACATTTTTGGGATAGAGTGGGTATTTGAAGGAATACCAGTCATGTTTTTATTTGTGATCCACATCCCATTTGGGTATATTTCCTCTTACTTCCGGTCAGAACAGAAAGTGAAGGGAAATTTCTCCAGTGGGGACACAGCCTACAATAAATTAGATCTTCTCTCGAGTTATTATTACTGTCTATGTCTTCCTGTCGTTGACAAATGCTGCTCTCATTTGTTGTCCTGACATAACAAGCACAGGAAGTATAATATCCCAGTAGGGTCACAGACAGCAATAAAAAAAAAAAATCATAAACATATATAATATTCCCAAGTCTATTCAAATCTAAATAAATATATATTTCAAGCACTTACTTGATCATCATGATTGAGGCCATTGTGTAAAACCATGTAAAACTGAACCAAGACATCTGAGTTTGGGAGAACATCTTGCCGTCTTGTCATCATACCACAGATCAGCTTGTAGGCATGCAGTTTGCCCTCTTTGTACTCACTTGGCAATGTAGTAGCCTGAAAAAAAAAATAACATTGACACAAAATTAAGAGGGTACCAAAACTGTAGCACAATAGGGAAGTTTAAAAGTAAAAAAAAAAAAAAAAATGAAAAACAGATAGAGAAAAAAAAAAATCATACCGCCAGGGAGGTTAAAAAACGCGTGTCGAACGTGCGTTTCACTGAACAGAAATACGTGCTTCAAACACAAGGGCTAAAACGCGCCTATTAAGACCGCCCAGGTGTGAACCCAGCCTTACTGTCTGCCACTGTGGAAACTGATCCTCTTTACGTGTCCTGTTGTCACTGGGACAGAAAGTGATGGCAAATCTTTCAGTGAGGGAACCTGTTCTGTAGACAACTAAGAGGGGATTTGATTTCCACTTATTTCCTGTTGTGTCTCCAGAACAGGAAGTAAAGACAAATCTCCTCAAAGGGACACGAAGAAAAAAAAAAAACAACCCAACCCAGCTAACTATTCCATACTCTATCCAAAAAACAAAAAAATAAAAAGATTTTTATTACAAAAACCACATATGTGCTCTATGGCCTAAAAAGGGAGGCAATATTCAATTTTTGGAACCCTAATTTAGATAAAGCATCCGTTATAGCAAGACTTTTTTGGGTTCCACATAACGTCTGCCTCCCAGACCTTATAATCTCAAACGACTTTTTTTGAGGTTTCTAAATAGTCAGAAACTTAAACCATTCAATTGGGCTCTACTGATAAACAGCAATGAGATGTTTCCACTTCTCTGTCACTCTGAATGCTCTACATGTTTTGGAGGAAGAATGCTTTCTCATCCTTCAAGTAGCAAGGTTATGTAAGGGGCACAGCACTGAACGCATGTTGTTTATATACTGAAACCACATGGATCAATACATTTCTAGTGAACTGACCGATGGGTGCCTCTTGTCAAGCATCAAAAGTTCAATGCACCACCTACTGCCATGTGTGTATGAGCCCCAAACTGAAGAAACATACTCCACGGCTTGTGTCCGGTGAATAGTTCATATTATTAATAATGTAAAAAGTAGGAATGTTACATTTCAGTACTAATAAAAGCAAACAAACATTTTTCACTAGAATGATTTCCCTCCTAAACTTAGTAATCCCCAAAAGACATGTCAAAATAATGGACAATAAGATGTGTAATTGGTGCTGAAGACATACTGTCTGACCTTGATCCTAGTGCCTTTTACATACATGCTCTTCTGTATCTGTGCCAATTTCTCCATTTTCTGGCCTTCAGATTTTTCATACCAACTACACCAAACTGAAATGGTTTAATGTTGTCTACAAGGCACTGAAGAACTTGTCAGTAATTAATACATATTAATGCTGTGCATGTTCGTCTCATAAACTTTGTTTTAGAATATATTACATTTATATTATTATCCATGTACAAGTATCCCTTACTTTAAACAGCCAAGATGCAAACATTCTGAGAGGGGGGATTAAAACGGGTGGCGGTGGGGAAGACTGATTGTCCAGACTGATTGACAAATTGTCTCTAATCTGAAAGAGAGAATAATGCAGAAGTCAAAAATGTGTGCTTTCCTTGCTTCATTCTTATATGCTGTATACATTTGTCTATGCCCCATCCAAACATCAGACTTAATAAAACATTTGCTGATCACTTTAATTTCTCCTGCTGCAAGACCTGTGAGTGCCTCGGCCTCTACATCCTCATACTCTCATGTAGTCATACATACTATTACACAATAATACATCAGAAATACATGCGTAACATAAAATGATGCCTTCATTAACTACATTCTATAAGTCAGAAATTGCCTCAAATCTTATATAATGCTGCCACCTAGTGTTTGATATGTGAAGTGTTTCACAATAACACATGCAGGGAAGTGTTCAGGTGTCAATTACAAGGGGGTTCTATAGACACACAAGCATTCTATAACACTCCATTCATCTGTGTTTCACTCTGCAGTCTCCCTATAGCAGCTCGACACTGAGACACTGAGATAAAGCTACAGTCTTCAGCACACATGTTTGGAACACAAATAGGTATTGGTATAATGTATAAAATGTTGCTCCCACCCATAGGAGCCAAGATTGACAGCAAAGAATTGCATTAATATACTGGCATATACAGGTCCAAGCTGGGTATACACGCTTTGAATATCGTCCGGTTCTTCAGGAAACGGCCGAAAATTCGATGCGTGGGTGCCACTGTCGCCACTTTTCCGAATGGCATCCCTCGATCGGATGATCGAAGGAGCATGTCAGAAAATTGGCAGCCGAACAGCTTTAGCAGTCAATGAGTTGCCAGCTCTGTTCAGGTATTCTGACAGCGGCTGGAATACCGATGTCGGCACCCTATTGTCCGGCAACCCTCGATCAGCTGATTGAAGGAGCTGGTTGGAAAATCTTCCAACAAACAGAGCCAGCAGCCAATGAGTTGCTAGCTCTGTTCAGGTATTTCGACAGCGGCTGTTGGCCACCGCCAGAATACAATGAAGACAGCAGGAGACTCTGATCAACAGTGATGAGCGTCGATGGAGGAATCTGTTATATTTTCTTTGTTCTGCCTGCAGGTTGAACTAACAAAATATTATAGTATCTGGCCAGCTTTAGTCAGTAAAGCAATACATAGAACAATTACAATGTGTGAAATAACACATACTGTTCACTGTTCAAATGAGTTTTACTATACTTTAGATGTAATACATGAAAGCTTATTTTGAATAATTACAATTCAATTATTGTTTAACACATACATTTATTAACGCTTTCAAGACAGAACGAGATGGTAGGATATCGTAAAACAACCTCCAGACTTTCTTTGCACCCACAAAAAGACAACATTAATGCATTTTCCAGGTTACAGGCAAAACTCCAGAACACTGTGATGAGAATTCTCAAGAAGCATAAATGCAGTTCATTTGAGGTGTGCTATGTGTATCTGAAAAGCTATCAGAGCTCAAGTACTACTGCATAGATCAGCAGTCCCCAAACAATGGAACCAGAGTTTCATGTGGCTTTCAGCTACTTCAAATGGAACTTTAAAAAAAAGAGTCTCAAACTGACAAAGGTCGTGAAGTCCTGCCACCGGCTGATCATACAAAGGAGCTTCTGATGTCTCTGACAGGTCGGCAGCAGTGACAGATCTGTACTTCCTATTGCTCATCAGTTCACTCATAAATAAGCCCAACTAAGTCACAATGCATGCAAACAACCCTACATGTTGGAGGAAATGAAATGTTACTTCTCCACAAAATTCTGCCTGCTTCTACAATTATCTATAACATATTGATATGGAAAAAGGTGGCAAATACTTTTGGTTACATTTTAAGGCAATAAACAGGCATTACAAAACATTTCAAAAAATGGATTGTCCCCTAATTATAGAAATCCCTTACTCGGAGCTGGTTCAGTAAACAGGTAGAAAATATATAATTAATCAAAGTGAATATTTAATCGTAGAAAAACAAACTTGAACAATACATCCACAACAAAACATTTAAAATCAATTAAAAAACTTCCCTTGGATAAACTGTTGTTAAAGGAACATAGATGATCTGCAGGCCAGCTAGTGTGGCATGAAATAGTTAGAGCAGATACATACAATGTATTTCATATGGGGATACAATGTATCCAAAGTTACTCACAACTCGTGTTGCTCAGGGAGCTCGGGGAGAGACAGTCCTGCTCGAATCCCACAGCGCTGAATGATTTTTCGCTTCAGTAAGCGTGTCCGGTAGTAGTGGTTGGGATCCAGAGATAGGGATTTGTTGATAGGGCTAAAAAATGTGTAAGCGCCCTTCCCTCTCCCCCTGCCTAGGACTCTCACTAGCCCGCGGGCTTAAATTTCAAATTTGAGAGGTATCCCGAAAGCACTTCGATATATATGTGCGGCCGCACAGTGAACAGCAGGAAAGGTGGATGCAGGAACCTCCACTGTGAGAAGTTCCAGGTGCAATTTTGGATCCACAGGCTGTGTGAAGACCACAAACAGTCGTCCGTTCGTTTTTCCTCAATCTCTGCTGGATTGGTGTAGGTTCCGATGCAGCTTGACTCAGACCATATCCGAGCCGGCTGCGCTCCGTCTCCGCACTTCGAGAACCGGCTAGAATATGCTTCTACCGAGACTAGTATGCGGGATGAGCTTTTGTGAGTGTCCAGGGAAGTTGCTAGCACATGTTACCCATTACAAAACATTTGCTGGATCTGAGAGAGAGATAGAGGTATCTATCTATATTATCGGTGTTTCCCCGAAAATAAGACACTGTCTTATATTTTTTTTTGCTCCAAAACACACACTAGGTCTTATTTTCGGGGTAGGTCTTATTTTAATTTTTTAATGTACAACAATCCACACTTCTATATGTACAACAGTCTACATGTATTCATGTACAACGATATGGTGATCAGGGCAATCAGGGGTGCCGTACCTTTCCAAGAGCAATTTGCTAACCAATTGCTGTCCAGAATGAGCGAAGCGCACTTTCACTATCTATTCCTGACAGGTGGAGTGCATTTGGTATCACTCCTGTGACAGGAGCCAGCGCTATAGAGGAGGCATCGGCTTATGCAGTTCTGCTCCCTCCGGTGCCGCCTCGCCTTCTCTAGCGCTGGCTTCGTTGGCACAGCTGATTCTTGCCTGCCTCTCCCGCGGCTCTTCAAGTTCCCCTTTATGCCACCACCGGCACTGGAAATGGTCACAACTAGGTCTTATTTTCGGGGTAGGTCTTATATTTTAGCAATTCACAAAATAGTACTAGGTCTTATCGGGGTAGGTCTTATTTTCGGAGAAACAGGGTATCTATCTACCTATCTATCTATATACACACAGTATGTATCTATTGCATTCAGAAAGTATTTAGACCCCCTTCACTTTTTCAATTTGGTTATGTTGTAGTCGTTGTTTAAATTCTTTTTTCTGTGCATTTAGCGGGTCTTTTCTGCCCGTGCGTGCCCGCTAGGGGGCGCGCGCGAGCAGAAAAAAATTGCCGTCTGGAGACGGCAACCCGCAGATGCTGCAGTGCCGTCCGTCCGTTTTTTTACTACGGGCGGACGGCAAGAGGTTAATCTACACTCGGGTACCCCATAATGACAAAGTGAAAACAGAATTATAGAAATGTTTGCAAATGTATGAAAAAGGGAAAAACTGAAATATCACATTGGTACAAGTATTCAAGATCCTTTGCAACAACTTGAAATTTAGCTCAGGTGCCTCCCATTTCTCTTGATCATTGCTGAGATGTTTCTACATCTTGATTGGAGTCCACCTTGGTAAATTACATTGATTGGACATGATTTGGAAAGATGCACACCCCTCTATAGAGAAAGGCGTCACAGCCGACCATGCATACTGTATCAGAGCAAAAGCCATGGAGGTCAAAGGAATTGCCTGCAGAGCTCAGAGACAGGATTATTGCAGGGCACAGATCTGGGGAAGGCTACAAAAAAATGTCTGCTACACTGAAGGTTCCCATCATTTGCAAATGGAAGAACTTTTACACAGCCAGGACTCTTCCAAGAGCTGGTCGCCTGGCCAAACTTAGCAATCGGGGGAGAAAGGTCCTAGTAAGAGAGGTGACCAAGAACCCGATGGTCACTCTGAGCTCCAGAGATCCTGTGTGGAGATGGGACAAAGTTCCAGAAGGACAACCATCACTGCAACCCTCCACCGATCTGGCCTTTATAGCAGAGTGGCTAGACAAAAGCCTCTCCTCAGTGCAAAACACATGAAAGCCCACTTGGAGTTTACAAAAAAAGCACCTGAAAGAATCTCAGACTGTGAGGAACAAGATTCTCTGGTCTGATTAAAACCAAGATTGAACTGTTTGGCCTCAATTCTAAACGTTATGTCTGGAGAAAACCCAGGCACTGTTCATCACCTGTCCAATACCATCCCAACTGTGAAGCATGGTGGTGGCAGCATCATGCTGTGGGGGAGTTTTTCAGCAGTAGGGGCTGGGAGACTGGTCAGTGTTGAAGGAAAGCTGAATGGAGCAAAGTACAGAGATATTCTCAATTAAAACCTGTTCCACCGCACTCAGGAACTCAGACAGGGCCGAAGGTTCACCTTCCAACATGACAACCATCCTGAGCACACACGGCCAACACAAGAGTGGCTTAAGGACAACTCTGTGAATGTCCTAGAGTGGCCCAGCCAGAGCTCTGACTTGAACCCTATTGAACATCTCTTTAGAGACCTGAAAATGGCTGTCCACCGACGGTCCCCATCCTTCCTGACTGACCGTGAGAGGATTTGCAAAGAAGAATGTCAGAAAATCCCTCAATCCAGGTGTGCAAAGCTTGTTGTGTCATACCCAAAAAGACTGGAGGCTGTAATTGCTGCCAAAGGAGCTTCAACAAAGTGCTGAGTAAAGGGTCTGAATATTGTGATATTTCAGTTTTTAATTTTTAATAAATTCACAGACATTTCTAAAATTCTGTTTCACTTTGTCATTATGGGGAACTGAGTAGAGATGCACCAATACCAAGTACCATACTCGGTAGAAGTACAAGTACAGATACTTTTCCAGCTCCAAGCCTAGAGTAGAGAAAAATTCAAAAGTTAGAGGCAGCTGTCATTTGTAAGGAGCGCACGGAGCTCCTGGGATTTCTACATCTCTGTTTTATTGTATGATTTTGTTTTTATAAATAAAGGGATGCACAGATACCAGTTTTGCAAGTACAAGTACTGATACATTTTTGTTTATTGTCATGTGACAGTTTTTCTAAAACAATACAGACTAATGATTTCAGGACAGTGGTGGAGCGCCAGAGCCAGCTCCCCGCTGCAACCATGGTAGTTCATGAAAATGACAAGTATCGGCACTGGTATCTGAAAAGTATTGGTGCATCCCTATTGCCGAGTGTAGATTAAATAGGGAAAAAAAAAAAAGAATTGAAACAACTGTAGTATCAGGCTGAAAGATAACAAAATTGAAAAAAGTGGAGGGGGGTCTGAATACTTTCTGAACACACTGTATATATTGCATTCTCCACAGTATAAAGTAAATAAAAAAACAGGGAGAGTGGGACCCCTCATAATGGCCACTAAGAGATCGGCATAGATAATGTGCCAATAGAATACTCAAGAAGTACAATAAACCATCAGGTGGTTTAACTCTACAATATCTATCAAAAGTTGGAATATTAGTTTTGGGTGGACTAATCCTTTAACTACCTCCGGGCCGGCCGTAGTAAAAAAACGGCCGGCCAGGAGCTCTCTCGATCTGAGCGGGCGTCTCTAGACGTCCGCTCAGACACGCCACCAAAATAAAGCTCTATCTGTCCCCAAAAAATGGTATAAAATTCATTTCAGTACAGCGTTGCATGACGGAATAAACGTCAGTCAAAGTATCGCAGCGCTGAATACTGAAAAATGGCCTGGCCAGGAAGGGGGTCTAAACACCTGGTCTTGAAGTGGTTAAAAAAAACCAACCATTTAAACCTTTTCATACTAATGCTGTAGTGTGACAGAAGACATGATGGGTTCATTCACAAAGTATAATGTGATAATGTGTAATCACACATTGTCCGTTATATTTGTATTTATGCATTTCAATAAAACAAGTGTTGGTAATTACAAAACATATGATAGGATAAGGTAATCCATAAAATGTTAGACTGGAAAGTGGGAGCATAGCATCCAATCAGAACGCAACTGCCTTTTTCTACAGCAAGTTGAAAACTGAGTCCCCACCTGACTGGTGACCATGATCAAAACATCCACTATTATGGAATACCCATTAAAAATGAGTCTAGATTAGTATAACATAGGAAAAACAGAAGGGACAAGAAACATACCTTTCCTAGCTTGTACCACAGCTCACAGAGGTAGCCAAACACCTTTGCATGAATTTTGGTGGACTGAATATTGTTGACATCTCCGAGTATTCCCAAGATTCTCCTCCACAGGACAGCCGCAGAGTCCGGGTGCCAGCCAGACAGGTTACCGCCGGCTATGATGCTACAGTCCCCAGCAAGGAACTCAATGCTGTCTGCAAGCAAAATAAAAGCTTTTTTAACAAGTGCATAGTAAACATAATACTCACAGATCAAGAATGCAATAAAACTTTCAGTTTGTCTGCTTCATCTCTATAAAACTTATAAAAACTCATACAAAAAAAAGCAAGTTTTCTATTAAACCTGTGCAAACAATAAGCGTACTGTTCTCAGGAATCTAATGGCTCTACAGTAAGATTAATGGAGTAAAGGGCACTTGTCATTTTGGAGCATTTGACATGCTGGAAAGTAGATGAGAAGAACTGCTGCATACCTAAGGTTTTAGTGTTTTGTTTTTTTTTACAAATTCTTTTTATTAAAGGTTTTTGGTTTTGTACAAAACAGAACATAGGCACTCACAGCCGTGAGGGCACACAATTAGTACAGCGAATAGAAAACAATTACATTCAATACTCAACAAGGGGAACAACCCCTAAACATGGTTTCCCTCCCCCTCCCCCCAGTCCCCAAGAAAGTGTGTGTCCCCCCAACTCCAACTGCTCCCTTTGGAGTGTCATTACATCATACAGAGTTACATATTGCACAAGGTAAAAAATATCATGTTCATATCATCACAAAACCACTGCGCACATCTGCCCAGTGACCTTTAGAAGGAGAAGGCTAAGCCGCTCAAACCACTGTCTCTACAGACTCTAACCATCCACCCTAGACTTTGGAAAACTTACTGGGGCAGCCTCTTCTTTGATAAGTAGCGTTGTAGAGGCTTAGGTAAGAATTGATTGGGCCCTTCCAGTCAGATATGGTTAGGGGCGCACTCTTTCTCCACCGCAATATCACTACCTTCCTGGCGCAAAACATAAGATTCCCATGAAAGCCTGTATCGCATTTGTAGGAGCCAGTGGCTCAGTTAGCCCCAAAATACATGGGCGTATGCTGGGATTGAACAGAACAGCAACAAATTGCGACATAAATTGAGTAACCTCAAGCCAGAACGGTCTGACTCGTGGGCAGGCCCACAAAACTGGATAAGACCTGCTGACGAATCAGAGCATCGCAACATCCAAAACTGCCACTTCCATAGATGCGGGCCAGTCTTGCTGGAGTGTAGTATATCCAGTGTAAAATTTTAAATTGAATAAGCTTGTCTCAGGCAGATACCAAGTGACTAAAGGCATAGTCCCAGACATCCTCCCAGTCCTCCTCAGATAGTGTAGGGGCGTCAGCTAACCAAGGATCTTTACAATTAAGCGAATGCACCGATGATACTTGAAAAAGATGCAGATAGACCTCAGAGAGTGGCTTAGTGAGAGTCTCTTCTCAACAATTTCTCCAATCAAACCCCCAAATTGGCACCAGAAGGCATGTCGCACTTGTAGGTAGCGGAACAAATAGGCATTAGGGATGTGATATTTCCCTTGCAGCTGGTCAAAGGTCAGAAGTGAGTTGTTTGAAGTGAGATCTCCTAGTGTTCTGATTCCCTTGCCAGGCCACACTTGGAAATCGGGTATGCTTAGGAAATAAGGCAAGAACAGGTTTTTCCAGAGGGGAGTATGAGGGGACCAGCCCTGTTGGGTCTGACATAGCTGCTTAACGATAGAGGACCAGGCCATAATCGTGGCTTGCATAGACACCGTGAGCTCATACGGGGCTTTAAGACCCTGAAAGGGTATACCACCCAGGGCTTCGTAGGACGCTAGAGAGGCAGCCTTCACCACCACTGCTGCATCCCCAGAGTCACTCGTGAACCACTTGTGCAGAACTACCATTTGACCGGCTAAATAATATTTTGTTTAAATCTGGGACTGCCAGTCCCCCTCTACACCATGGCCCCTGCAAGATAGCCAATTTAATTCTAGGGATTTTGGAGTTCCACAGAAAGGAGCTAATGAGGGTATTAATTTTCCCCCAAAAAAATTGTGGTACCCAGACAGGTACATAATACAGAAAGATGGGCAGGATTTTCATTTTGACCAGGTTAACCCTACCTACTAGCGATAGGGGGAGGTGCTTTTAAGACTCCAGACGTAGCTTAAGTTTAGAAAGTAGATGCAGAAGCTTAAGGGAGTAATAATCCCTGACCGATTTTGTTATTTGAATTCCTAGATAAGTGATTTTTTTTCCACCCACTGTAGAGGGAGGGAGGTATCTGCCTGGGATTGGGTCTGTTGGTCTAGGGGGAGCACATGGGATTTAGACCAATTTACCCTCAGCCCCGAGAATCTCGCGAAGGTGTCTAAAACTTTCAGTGCGGCCTGTAAGGACGGGCCAGCATCCGCCAAAAAAAGGATAAGGTTGTCTGCATATAGCGCTAGTCGCTCCTCTATACCCCCTATTTTAAGGCCAGAGATCTCCTGCGAGGAGCGGAGAGCAATAGCTTTTAGCGTATTTTTGAAGGGTGACATTATGTCCTACCCCCTCTACTGATTAAAGCCCAACTCCAGACACAAGAGAAAAAAAAAAAACCATTGCAAGGCAAGCTTAAGGTCTAGGGGTGCAGATATATGGAGTGATACTTACCTCATTCCTCGCTCCACCAGGCTCCCTTCATCTGTGCAAGTGGTCTGCTGGTGCTCCCTGCCACAGTCACACACTTGCATTTTCTCTTGTACAATGCAGATTTAACACACAGCACTAAACATGATGCCAAGGATCTGCCCATAACCCTGAGGGCCAAGGAGAAGTGGAGAGCACTGCAGCCTGCTGGTGCAGAGGGTAAGCTAAGTAAGATCTCCTAAGATATCCGGCACTAAGCGTGATGCCAAGGGTCCGCACATAACCCTGAGGGCCAAGGAGAAATGGAGAGCACTGCAGCCTGCTGGTGTACGGGGTAAGCTAAGTAAGATCTTCTCGTCTTGTACCCCCTAACCAAATGAGCATTTCCCTTTGCAGTGTGGGGGCCCCACTGCAAGCATTTTCGTCACCCTTTGTTGACCAAATGGTATAGAGACACCCTCTATAAGTATCTCAAAGGTTTACAGCAATGTGTATGTGCAGCTATGGCGATAAACACTGCAGATAACGATTATCAGTGTGCCAAATATTTGGTGCACAGTAACCCGATTTTATGGATGCGCCAAATAATAGTGACTAGTGCAGAAAATGTAAAGAAAAAAAAATCCCAAGTGCGGCTTTTCGGTCTCGAAGTCTCACAATCTCAGCCAAATAAAGAGTAGTTAAGAAAATGAGTTTGTCAAAATTTGGTGGTGCAATAGAGGTGTGCAGTAGTGCGCCAAGAGCATGATGGGGCAAGACAGTTACATGTTATACTATGCACCAAATACACTAGTATATATGCACCACAATGTAATAGTTTATTTGACATGCAATGTACCAAAATGAGATGTCATGCGCGACAATTCACATATCTGTCAAGCAAAACAAATGACAAACGCACTCAACAATTTGTCACCAACTATACAGTAAGGTGCACACGAAATGGGCTTTAAACAGTAGAAAGGTATCATGGCACACTCACAAGTCAGCATGTAAAAAAACTTGTCTCACCACTAAGGTTAATAACAGAGATTTGGATACACGTCTTCTGCAGAAAATGTGAAAGCCGCACAGCCGCGCCAAGGCACCTCTTATAGTGCGGTCCTAACTCTAAACTATGAGAGTCTCCATCTTGGAGCACATGGGGGCAGAAGATTTCAAATTGGGTGCAGGTTTGTCAGGAGGAAGCCCCACCTCCCTTAAAGGCACAGGAACACACAAGGGATCCCGCACATCCCAACGGCAGCTGAGAACCCCCATGCATTACTGCACCAAATCAGTCAAGCAAAACAAATGACAAAACGCACTCAACAAATTGTCACCAACTATACAGTAAGGTGCACACGAAATGGGCTTTAAACAGTAGAAAGGTATCATGGCACACTCACAAGTCAGCATGTAAAAAAACTTGTCTCACAAAGATGACAAACCTGCACCCAATTTGAAATCTTCTGCCCCCATGTGCTCCAAGATGGAGACTCTCCATAGTTTAGAGTTAGGACCGCACTATAAGAGGTGCCTTGGTGCGGCTTTCACATTTTCGGTTATTAACCTTAGTGGTGAGACAAGTTTTTTTACATGCTGACTTGTGAGTGTGCCATGATACCTTTCTACTGTTTACAATTCACATATCTGAACACCTGCCAATCTTAGTTTATCCGGCCCACTGATTCCCAGCAGGTGATTACCATTATTTCATGGAGATCATCTGAATAAGTAACAATGTAGAACTTCGGCTTTGTTATAAAATGGTGTCAAGAAGCAGAGAGACTGACTACTATGTTAAGGATAAGTATTCTGCGGCCATTCTAGAAACAAAAACCATCGCCACAGTCTCAAAAAGTTTGGGATCACTCCAGTAAGGACACAAATACCCCTGCTCATAAACGTGTTATTGAAATAAATGCACCTGAAAAAACTACTCCTGAAAACTTATGGTGTTTTTACTTATCTTTATTACCATCAGGACTAGAAAAAGACCATTGAAAATACTACATGTAACATATAAATAGGTATTTCCACATGCAGCCAGCAGTTGGAGCTCCTGTCCCCTCTTCTCATGCTTTTCTAAAAAAAAAAAAAAGCCCAACAAAGTCTGCATTTTACAGAACTTAGCAGCTAGTGGTGAAATTTGCATACATCTTTTCTCTTCTCTAACTTACCTTCATTTAACTTCTCTAAACAAAATTTTTAATAACATTCCTCAAGTCTCTGATGGCATTACCCGTTGGTACCCGTTACTTTGTCAGCTTTTTGTTGCCATTCAAAATTACGGTACTTAATTTTTTTCTTAAAATGGTACATTTTCTCAGTTTAAATATTGGATATGTTTTATATTTTCTACTATCAATAGAATATGGGTTTATGAGATTTGCCAATCATTGCCTTCTGTTTTTAGGTAGATTTTACACAGCGTCCCAACTTTTTTGCAATTGGGGTTGTACAAATCCTATGATGCATCTGTATCTCTGAGTCATGCCTGTGAGAATCTTGCAATGCCTCATGGGATTTGTAGTTTCACCACAGCTGGAGGGCCGGAGGTTCCCCACCCCTGAATTAAAGGAAGCTGTTAATTTCCTCTTTTTCATCTAAAAGCCACCCCAAGTGATTTTCATCAGCTTGAGGGGCAGCTCCAGGAGCTTGAATGATATGTGCTCCCTCTTCACATGGTGCTGTGTCTGTTTGCAGGGCAGCTCTAGTAGAGACAATTGATAGAGGCGTCTACCTCCCTACTAGCTGCCCCACAAGACACACATTGCAGATATATGAAAGTTGGGTCCCATAGTGTATTTGACAGCAGCTCCTCCAGCAAGCCCCAGCTCCAATTGGCTCTGTGCAGGAAGGGGGGACCATACTACACTTGCGGGAGGGACATATGCGAGCTTAATGCGAGGATTCATGCTTGCTCTTCTCCCAGATCTCGCAGTGCGGTGAGGAGCAAGTAACACATCTCGCATCCACGATATGTGGAAGCAACAACACAGCATTTGGGGCACCTATTTTTTCACATAAAGGTATATATGGTTGATGATTGCAGTGTGGGATTTGATGATGATCCATGTGAAGTTGGTAATATGGGAATAATGACACTTGAATGGTCATACATGAGGAAGACTTAAGCTACCTAAAAGCCAATCTCCTCATGTTTCTCCACATGCCACAGCTGCCAATAGTGGTTCGGTAAAAGGCACACCATGGCTCCCAATGATCACATTATATTTAGAGATCTTACCAGTTGTGCTATAAGAAATTGTAGAAAAATTCTCCTTTAAACTGTAGTTCTTGGCTAATAGCAGGGAAGCTGCAATTTTAATCAAAGAATGGCTCTTAAGCCAAATTTCCACGGACAGAGAGTCCTGCTCATCTGCAGGGGGTTCATGACAAAAAAAGTACTGATGCTCTTACAGACAGCAGATTAGAATAAGCCAAAAAGAGATAACCATTGACAGAGTGCATGCTGTCAAAAAATGCTGGAGTGCTTGCTTGGATTCAGCAGACAAAGCCCAAACATTGCTCAGCTGTACAGAGCATGTGCTGATTCCAAGATAATTGTTAGGCATTCTGTATTTAATGGACCCTATGCTTATTTGTTGGTCGAGCGTTTAACAGTCTGGTCTCTCTGGAAACATCTTTACAGGAGTTGAGAATTCAAACAATTACTCTCAGGCTATAATAGAGTTTGGTGTCTCCTCCGACAATGAAGAGAAACAAAGCCAGCAACTGAATGTGTACATGCTCCATAAGTGGCGGCAAGTTCCAGCTCTGCATGTGCCGCTGTCAGAATGAATGCGCTTTGATAAGTGTGATCTTAAATGCTATACAGCAGTGCCAAGAACATGACAATGGGATTCCTATTGACTAATAAATGCCGGTCCACCCGGGCCGACTGCTGATGTCTTGCAGCCTCCTAGCACCTGTCCCCTCTACCTTACATTTTCCTTTTAATGAGCTGCAGCTGCCCGGGGGTGAATGGGAGAGCGTATCTAAACGACTCGCCTCTGATCTAGTGCACACACAAGACACCATGCAAATATCCACGGCGCTGATAAATAAAGCCGGCATTCATTTTGCAGGTTACAGGCATACAAGGAGCATGGTGGCAAAGGGCAGAGCGAGGAGAGATAACAGTGTCTGAGTCAACAATGCTGTTGAATGGGTTAAGCTACAGTCTATGGATGGGATGTGTGTGTACACCTGCCAGCAGCTGAAGGCCTCTGTCAGGAGGCAAGTTACGACTTTGGACAAAGCATACATACTGTACACCTTTCAAAATCAGAGTACAAAAGCACACAGTGACGGCTGGTGAACAAGTCAGCCATAAAAAGCCTTTTGTTCTATTCAGTGCTCCTTTTAGCACTCGGTCTATAGCAGGTCATGTGACTGACAGTATACACATGTACTGCTCATCTCCAATTCACCTCACTATGAGACACTAAAATAGTGACAATTGTTGTTAAACATACCGTAACAATGAAACTCAAATCTCATATTATTACAGTTAAAGCAAAACTACACTAAAACTTTTAGAAAGTGTAGCTAAACGCAAAACTTTTGGGGGGCTAGAACCTGACCTAGTTTTATTGTTTGGACCTGAGGCACTGATCTAGGCTACTTTAGTCCATTATCATTGGATTAGGTCTTAAGCTGGCCATAAAAACAGATCTGACTTCCACTGTTTCCTGCTAAATTGGCACAAAATGGATTGGTCCCCGATTGGTCAATTGGCCGGTTGGTCCTATTAACTGCTTGCAACAAAACACAGAGCAGGCGCCACCACCTAGTGCAGTATGTTTATTGACAAAATGATGAAATAAAAGAGTCTGGCTCTGAGGAAGGAAGGTCTTGCTCTGAGGAAGGGGTTGGTTACCCCAAAACGTTGCTTCTCCCACCCCCCCCCCCCCCCCGTTGGGGTGCACCTACCACTGTACAGCGTTGTTGGACCATTGGACTTGGTTATTGGTATGCCTGGTTTCCTTTAGGAATAGTGAGTAGAACTTTTCTACACTTTTATGCCATCATTTGGTCAATGAGGTGGCACCTGCTCTGTGTTTTGTTGCATGTTGTCAAGAGTCCAGTGACTCCCTGGTTGAGAGAGCAGCCCCGTGTGTCCTAGCATTGGCAGAGTGAGCACCTGTCCCATTGGTTTGCGCCAGCCTGAATCTTGCTCATTTCCTGAACACAATTAACTACAGTCGAAAGAACCAGGTGGAAAATTGTTTGGCCGAATAGTGATTGCATCCAATCAGCGCAGTCACAGTTTGGACATTCTGACACCAGCGGGCTCCTGCTCATAATCTTGTCGTAAGGACCATTGTTTATGCACCTTCTGTTAAAAAGTGATAAATATCCATAACATCCATATCCCAACTGTGCTCCATGGTTTTCACCCTGGTAGGAATTGGTTCACTAATGTCACCATCAGGAAATCTGCACTGAGAAATTGAATATAGCCATTGCTGGAGTGGGTGCTTGAAGAAAGGAAGTGGCTGCAGGAGATCATCAGCACTTTGCATTTAAACAGAAGCATTGTTTACTAGCAAGAGCTTTAATTTCTATTATTATTACAGTTAGTGGTATTGCCATTAATAAATTAAAGTTATGCCATTTTGTTGACATTTGGATAATTTTTACATTTATCAGTGAACTGAAATCATCATTGGCCAAAAGCAGCTCAAAAGAACAAGCAAAAGGTCTAGAACTGGATTTCAGATGTAACCAGTAAATACCTGTAAAAGGTGCAGCATCAGCAGGACTGAGCTGCAGCCATTGTCTTGCATCAGGATCAATGGCCACATCCGTGGGTGTACCAAGCTCAGGGTCCTCGTCACAGCTTTGCCAGGGCATCAGATAAATGTCTGCATCACGGCTGTATCCATTTGTCACATCACTGACACTATCAACTGGGATAAAAAATACAGATGGTTAGAGAGACCCTAAATTAATGGAGTGGTCCAGCAAGAGTAATGGTAGGGAAATGGAGACTAAAACACATGTGGGTGTCCTAATTAACACCTAGTTAAAGGCAAACACCACTATAATATGTCCATTTTGCTGGGCAGTCAAACAACAGTGTGCATTTGTAGACAGTATCTCTCCTAAAGCTCCATGAGCTATTTTCACCCAGAATCTACAATTTTATCAGACTGTTCCAAATCATAAATATCTATGTAAAACCATTTTTTTTTGGATAGGGTAGGAATGGTTACAATTTCAGATTTTTTGTTGTTGCCATATTTATCTTACTGGGCAGATTTGCCTTCACTTCCTGCCCCGTAAACCTAACAGGAAACGTGGCGTAATCTCTCTAGGGTAAGAAAATGTCCTCTTCGATAGTTGTCACCAAAAATTATTTTTCCCTCTGAACGTTTTCCGTTCTGTACCTGCTCTGGTGACAACTCTCCCTTGTTTGGTGACTTTCCATTGTTTTAGGTCTTGGGGATAATGTCCACCAGGCCAAAGAGAGGAAAATTTCCCCAACAAGAGCAGAGACTGCAACAAAAATGTAAAGCTGAAATATTAGACTGGGGGGGGGTTCTGAGATACAACTTCCATCCCACTCTAAATGCTACTAACAGATATTGTCAACCTGGCCCCCATGCCCTACCCATTTTTTGCCAAGATCTGAGGCCATCTCTGAGTTAAGATTTCATCTGTAGCCCATATAAGTGAAAACTGTAGTTATGACTCAGACATTTACCCAGTGATACTATCCGTCTTTATTTTTACCTCTCTCGTGATCGGCACTTCTTCCATTGGTGTGCTGAGTATCTGTGTGCCACTCAAATTCTGCTGGGCTGCTGCTCCTTCGTATCATTATCTATAAATAGATAGAAGTAGGAAGTTGGCTAGATTACAATATAAGTCCATTGCATTACAATATATTATTCCAGTGGGGATACACAATTCAGTCACTAAAAAACACTTGCAAACTAAGAGTGAACTAATTCCATAAACAGCCACATTGTATAACCTGTATTTAACCCATCTCCCTTATATGTACCAACAGCTATGCAGCGTAAGAACCTACCTAACTGTAAAAGGTATTGTTTAGGTCGGCCCGCTATATACTGGGAGTGCCGCAGCCGGGACGGATACCAACAATACTGTCTGGATCCACCCAGCTGCGTGAGTGACAGCTGGCTCTGCCTATCTAAAGACTGAGCCAGCTGTGCCCGCCCCCTCCCACGTCCTTTCCTCCAGTCAGAGCAGCGGACAAGGGCTCCCAATGTACACATGTAAACGGTGCGGTCTTGAAGGGGTTATACCAAAATCACAGCTTTGACCCTGGTACCGGTTCTTACAGCTGGCGATGGCTGTCACATACAAAGGATTGCTTGTATGCAGCCGCGGAATGTGCACTGTGCCCCCGCCGGCTATCCCAGGCTTCACTGTCCACTGTGAGGGCCAGGGACCAGCACTGTGGGTCTCTACACCTGGATCGGAGGGAGATCAGCACACTTCCAGTGGCCGATATGTCCTCCGATTACTGAAACCTGAAGCAACGTGTATTTCATCACTTCCAGTTTCAGCTTGTCATTTCCCCAGCTGCTGTAGCACAATCGGTGCTTCATTAGCTTCTTTGGGTCCCTAGGTGATATTAGGGGTCTAATAGACCCCTGATGTCTCCAAAAAGAGGACTGTATCTGTGCTATCACAGATGTATGTGATAACAATAAAGTTAAATGAAAAAAAAAAAGAAAGGTTACAGACAAAAAAAGAAAAAAAAAACATTTAAAAAGTCCCCAAGTACAAAAGCAACATGTATCAGGTGCGCCTATGTGCAAAAACGATGCTTGCACCACACGTTACAAATCACCGTGAACATCGGAGTGAGTAATAATTCTAGGCTCATCACTCACAGTTAACGCTAAATTGAAGAGTAGTCAATGCTTTTCAAATGTTGTAATTGGGCAATTTTGGGTACTGTAGTTTTTTGCCATTTAACAAGCACACAAAATTTGAAGGCTTGACATCTATTTGGTATCTATTTACCCAACACCACCCAAATTTTTTATATTTTACATTGGGCATTATATTCTGTTTGTGTGCACTAAATTTAATTTTAGTGTATTTTATCCTAAAAATATTGGTTTGATAAACATTTGCGCACTTATCATGCGACATAAAAAATTGCAACTATCTTTTTTTTATTCTACGTGGCCTCTGCTTTCAGAAAGTATATAATTGATTGGGGGGCATTTAACTATTTTCTAGGAAAAAATTCA